TTTATAAATATTGCTCAAATATAAGTTACAACGTACTTTATAATAATCAATCAGAAAAGAAGATTGTTGAAAATTTAATTCAAATAATTCATCAACTATTTTTAAACTCTCCTTTGAAAATCGGGTACTCAAACCTATAATTTCATCTAATATTGGATAAAATCTTCATAATATTTTTTCTTTGTTTAATCATCTTCGTTCAATGAGTTTTCAGCTGCAGTTGTGACAGTAACGTGGTAGTCTTTGAGTGTTTTTATTTCTGTTCTACGCTGTTTAAAAATTTTTGAAAAAGAAAATTTGTATAAGTAATTTCTGTGAGACTTACTTACCATATATGGGAATATTGATAGAAATATCATTATTCTATGCAAAATAAATAATTTTTTCCCATAATTCTGAAAATATTCAAAATTAAGATTTCCCTTAACTCCATTTATTGTTTATGTTGAACTTCCCATGTTGCCAGTTTTGTTTGTAATTGTATACTCAGTATATTTATTATTTTCAGGACATCGTGAAGAATAAACAAATATATAACAAATTAAAACATTTTGATAGTTGCCAAAATGCCAGAGATAAATATAATTTTTGTTATAAATACAAAATGTGTAATGTGTAAACGTCTAAAATATTATTAACGTGTGGAGCGTCGACTAGGTGATGTGAGACGGTCGTGCCGTTCCGTTTACTTTGCTTATGATTATATTTAATACTGTCTTGTACTCTTGTGGATGTTTATTGATTGTTTATCTTTGTTAATTGTCAGTTCGTTGCTGATGACTTCACGCTTACCCGGAGTGGTACAAATGGGAATTAAATCAACAACAAAATTGTTATACATCAAGGAAAATTAAAAAATTTCTAAATAAAATTCTGGTGGTTGAACACCATAATATTACACTATTCTCTGTTTGCCGAGAGAAAACGTAGCAGCCCGACGAAAATCGGTTCGTTCTGCGCATCCCTTCGCGTCACCCACCCATAGCGTCCGGCGACAGGAGTCTCTAGCATCGGCGTCGGGCGCATATTGTCGTCTCGACGATCTTTCATCTTGGAGGGGGAAATTGAGCCTCGGCGAGCAAGAAACCGTCAGTCGGCAGTTTGCATAATGTATGCGCAGTGTCTGCGTGTTCTCTCGGCGAATAGAGTATACATAATTCATTATCATGTTAGTACAAAATTATAATTTAATACAAATTAGACTCCGGATAATTTAAAAACAAACAACAGCTCAACAATGCAAGCCTTAGTTGGTTATGAAAAATGTACTCTTCATAACATATTACCTACACTACACATAACTGATATCATCCATGTATGTTTGATATTTGAGTGCCTTACAAGAGCACTTTTACAATCATTGTCTGCTATATTATGACGTAGCACTTGAAGATACGAAGTACTGTTTACTCCATAAGTCACATTGTTCAATGTGTGTTCTGCCATCTGGTGTTGTGGAGAATCTCTCCAGAGTATATGCTGATAACCACGGTGTTTTTCAAGCACTAAATTCTGGGGATACATTTTGCAAATATCCGTAGTAAAAGGCAACGCAAAAGACCCCGATTCCAGTCGGAACGTTCACTACGTCCTACTGTAATGTTGGGCCAACATATAGTCCGTTCAAAATAAGAAACGTAGACGGCGGCCGACTTCTGCGCATGGTCGTGGCCTCGCTACGCCTATCGAGCTTTGACACCGTCGCCTCATTCTATTGTTGACCAGTGACGCAAACAAATAACTTAAAATGCATTGAACCGGTGCCGGCGCTGCGTTGGGCTGTATTCACCGTAGCATACAACCTTTTTTTTATTATTATAAAACCATTTTTTTAAACTAAATTTTTTTTCGAGTTATTACCAGGTATATTACGTAAAAACATAAAATATAAAAACAAATTTAAACATTATAATTATTTATTACAATACATAAAAAGATAAACAGAAATTTAAAAAAGTCAGTAGGTAATAAAAAAAAATATAAAAAATTAAAAAAAAAAATTACTCATAATCAGAATCAGTTTCTCCCGTTATTGTTAAAACACAATGTTCCATTTGATCAATTAATTACTTCGTCCATGATATCGTCGACTTTCCAAATTTTCTCTTCTTCTCCGATGACATTTTGCCAATTTTCTGATGTCACCCTTTCAATTGCAATTGCAATTGCAAATACAACCTCTCTAATGTCCCTGTTTTTTCCCGTGATTTTTATCTTCGTCGTGAGTGTGCATTCGGCTAAAATAAAAATAAATAAAATAAAATAAATACTCAACTCTTAAGAGGACACTACCCATGCATTTGTTGTATTCGTTTTACACACTTATGACATACCAAATACACGGTCAAATATTTTTACTTGTTTTGAGCTGTTTACGGACATTTTCAGTTTCCAATTTTTTTAGTTTTTTTTCTTTTAATATAAATGAAATTTTATTTGTTTGCTACAAAGCTTGGAAATTTAATAGAAGGCTAATTATATATTGTTTCAAAGGTAGATGAAAAATATTAAAAATCACATTTACCACTAAAAGTTAAAAATTAAATTAAATTAAATTATATTATGAAACTGTTATAAATTCCTGAAATTTTAAAATAAAAAACATGGCATTTAGAAATTTACTCATTAAATTAAGTTACATTATAAATGTTATACCTTTATGAGTTGTTTCATTGTCATCAGAACTTTGCGAACGTTGTCCATCTTAATGTTGTGTTTTCGCGTTTTGCGTAACCTTTTACCATAGCCCATGCCAATTCAATTGGATTAAATTCGCAATGATAGGGCGGTAATAGGAGTACGGTGTGTCCTGCTTCTTCTGCAATTTTATCGATGATAAGATTTATTACGTGATATTTCGCGTACTTTGGCCATCAGTTCATGCTTCAAAAATGGTCTGTCAAGAACAACACCTTTTGATTGAAGCCACTCCGATGATTGGGCTTTATTCCAGGCATGTCCTTTGATTTACACCATACCCAGTATGGTATATTACAGTTGTTCAATTGTGTTTTTAAAATTTTTATGGTAGGTGTATCCAGGATCAACAAATCAGGCTCATATTTATTTTCTGCTTTGACGTCAAACATTATTACTCTATGTATAAAAAAAACTTGGTAAAATATATGCTATTGGAAATGATATAGAAGATTATTATTAATAAATCTTACTCTTTGGAACATATCTATTGGTATGATTGAAATGTAATTGAATTTAATTTATTATAAGTAAGAGTATACATTTTTGATTTTATTGATTTTTTTATAAGCAGGCAGGCTATCAATATAGGCTTTTGCAAACAAATCTGAATTCTCATGTACAAAAATTGCCAGTGAGCCAAAGGATTCGTCATGACATAATACATTTTTTGGTGGCAATTTAACATAGCAGATTGTATGTTACATGAATTGTTGTACACATAGTTGTCAATCATAGAGTTTTCGAAGAAGACACCAAAACTAGCAAGCGAAATTTTTAACAATGCAACATCAATACTATTAAATTTCTTTTTTAAATATATAATACATGCCGCAATGATCTCAGTTATATCTTCAAAAAAAAATATAAAAAAAGAAACAAATATTATTATTAATTATAATTATAATTATTTATATTATGGTAGCTGTAACCCTTGTTTGGGCACTCATCACTGGGTGTAGATTCTGCAAAAAAAGATGACTTACTTATGATTTGATAAATGACTTACTCTATACTACCAAGTAGCTTTAAGTCCCCTGGTAAGCGAATTGGACCTGTAGTTGTGGCTAAACCAGCATTTCACAGGATTACAGGGTAAACTGTACTTTGAATCGCCAAAAACGGTGTTAAATATTAATTTCCCCTTATAATGTAATTTGGATAAATTGTTAAGCATACCTGATACTATAGTATTCCAGTTTCGGAACCAAAAAAATCAAACTTTAAATGCTGAACACTTTCCGGTGCCTTCTGAACCATTGCCACTCAGAACCATAGGTTTTAACCAAGGCACCGGAACGTGTTCAGCATTTAAAGTTCGATTTTTTTGGTTCTGAAACTGGAGAACTATAGTATCAGATATGCTTAACAATTTATCCAGATGACATTATAAGGGGAAATTAATATTTAACACCGTGTTTGGAGATCCAAAGTACATTATATTGTCATTAAGTAAATTTCTCAAAATCAATTCCATTCCAGTAGTATTTTGGAATTCAATACAATCATTATTTATACCTGTGTCAATCTCCTGATTAATTTCTGTTTTCATTACTCTTTGTATAAAAAAAAAAATTAAATATTACTTATTATGTATAGTAAATAATATTGATTAATATGATTTTTAAATATACATCTTACTTTGTGTCACACATCTTTGTATACGATTGAAATGTTACAGAATTTAATTTATTATAAATAGTAGTGTACATTTTTGCTTTGATTTTTTTGCTTTTTTTTTGGTATGCAGGTGTACTATCCACATACATCTTTGCTGCACTGTATAAATTTGCACTTTTGCTGATGCACTCAACTAGTGCAGCAAATTGACTATCATGACATAGCAAATTACTCTCAGTATGGATTGAAATCCAATTTTGTATGGCAGCATGGTCATTAAAAATATAATCGGACAATGGTATGGGATCGATAAATTTACCATAACTATTCATTGTTAAATTTATCACATTTATATCTATAAATTAAAATTTTTTTTCAAAAAAATCAAACATGAAGCGATGTCACGCGAAATTTCTTTAAAAGAATATAAAAAAATTTCAAAAATTTTAAAATTTTAAAATTCCAAGGGTGGATCCAGGGGGGGCACTGGTGGCAGGTGACTCCACTTTGGAATAAAAAATATTTCCGGAAAAATATTTGGACTTTGTATGAATGGGGACGATAATATGCAGGGACGACGACCTCTTAACAATAACTATTTACTACTCTATTATTACAACTACTACTCTAAAAAACAATAAATTGCTAAAAGTACAATATTTTTTGTAAATATACAATATAACTCACTTTATTCCGGTTTGATGAATCCACGGAACTGGTGATACCCAACATTTCAACGATATGTCGTTTCGGTGCTCCGATTTATTTATATTTGTAGGAATTAACTTTTTGCCGTAATACCTTGTCCACGAACACTCCAACTGTGATTTTAATATATGATTAAGCTGTTTATACCGATACAAATAATGTTCAATTGATTTTCCCCTTGGTGCCTGATTATTATTGACTCGTTGTGTGGCGTTTTGGTGTCTCACTTTGGAACGCACACGCTCAGCAGCCAACGCTTCTGCGCGCTTCGCTTCCGCGTCGAAGAGCGGCTCCATCGAACGACGTTCACTGTCATATTGGAGACGCACCTTGCGCCTTGCCTCGCGAATGGCTCCACGAATAAAAACGTCCAGTCTGCTAGTTTTTGATTTACTCGAAGCTTCACTCGAGGATTCACTAGATGTCTCAGTAAAAGACGTAAAACCCGTTATACGTGGGTGATTGCATGCTACGCCGATGGGTCCGCTGTCCACGCTATCCGTGCCGAAGTCACTATTATCGGGTGAACTCGAGTGAAATGAACTGTTTTCATCCGTATCAAAAGTCAAGGCCCATCCGGGCCAATTGTATAATCCTGTGGATCGGTCGATTAAAAGTTTCGGAACTTTAAGATCACATAAACCATGGCATAGGCCTCGGTCACCAATCAATGCATTCACTGATACCCTTGTAGAAATACATTTTTTGTTAAGGTCATTTTCAATTGGACGTCCTTGCATTTGGCGTCCAGTCAAGACCATCACTCTTATCATCTTCATCCAGGCGTCACAGTTAAGTAGGTACCTAAGTTACCTAGTACTACTAGGCTAGTAGGTACCTAAGGTAATTAATATTACACACCTATTATTTTTCAAAGGAAATAATTTTGCAGAACTATAATATATAATATAATACGTACATTTTACTATGTCCCAAAAAAGTTTCAGGTCGAGCCTAGGCTTGACCGGCTCGCCCCGTGCAATCAGCATCAGGTAGCATAAACCTAAGTGCTATATTATGTGCATTTTTCGTGTAATCGTCCACACTACCCTTGAGGTGTTACACATAAGTGCGTTTTTTTTTAAGTGGTTTTCGCCTGTAGCCCTATTCCACTGTTTTACCCTACCTAGTTTAAAGTTTTTTAGTTTAAACCACATGTGTGTGGAGAAACCATACAACATTCATGCCGCAATTGGACATTTTTTTTTTTTTTTTTATTAGTTTTTACAATTCTTGTACATACCTAGACGAGCGTATAAACGAATGCAATTAACCATGGAAAAATTGGCCATATTTATTGTTGCTACTCTTGTGCCAAAAAATGTGGAAAAAATCCAATAAATGTCCCATATATAAAACAAATACATACCTGTATAATTTGTCATGCATCACAGTACTTATAATTCATCATTACATTAAATAAAATATAAAAACAAAAAAACGCAATCAGACTTCAGCACAATTCCCATGAAAAAAAGGAATAAAATCATCCGAAAATATTTCGTGTTACCATTTGAGTGAAACACACTGTATTATGATGTATGAGGTACATATAAAATGCCGATAAAGATACGCACCTAGCATACAAATATAGATAAACCTAATAACAAAAAAAATGGAAAATATCCTCCGATTTGCTGTGTAAAACCACCTTGGGTAGGCCTCGGAATTAAACAAAGTTGTTAAAAAGCTGTATATTTCAACTAATAAATGACCTGATTTATAATTTTATTCACCCAAAATATTACTGTCCCACAACGTTAAAATACGTAAAAAAAAAAAAAAATTAAAATTTGTTATAGGAGCAGCGCGTGGCGTATAAACGTGAAATCGCAAACTTTGGAAGGCTATAACTTCTAAAATAATGTACACCATCGTTTAAGCATAAAAATAAGTCGTTTGAAAAAAAAAATTGAAAATCCTGAGGGGGTTGGTAAAATGCACTTTAACCAAAATTATTTGACATAAGAAACATTCATTATATTATCATCTAGTTTTTATTCGGAATATTCGAATAGTTTTTATTTGGTATATTCGAATAGTTTTTATTCGGAATATTATTCGAATAGTTTTTATTCGGAATATTATTCGAATAGTTTTTATTCGGTCTATTCGAATAGTTTTTTGGAATATTCGAATAGTTTTAAAATTAAAAACTATTCGGTCATATAAAAAAACATTCGATAGTATAGCCTTACTATCGAATTGTATTCGATAGTACCAACTATTCGATAGTGCCCATCACTACTAATTATTAACCAATGGGATACAATAAATAAATTTGTAACAGTTGATGTGTAAGTCTTGGAAATATGTTTAAAAATATACAATAATAATATTTGATTTCAATATATTTCAGCTCCGATACATAAGGAAATGCATTAATCTCAAAGGCAATTCTTTTGCATTTGAAATGTTGCCAATTGAAAAAATTTTATAATTTTTTCATTACCCTAAACAGTTTAAAAAAAGGACTGTCATCCACATTCACAATCTTTTTGGTTTTCACCAAAGTAATGGTCGCCATAATCTGTGGTTATTTCTGTGCCAATGCGTATGTGTTGAATTGCTTTTGCGCACCAAACTCCTTCGCCCAGCCCAGCCACCCATTCTGTATTGTTGGAGCAGCTATGATTTATGTACGCCGCAGGGCCCAGGAACAATAAATCCTTTTTGTTCCGCGAACTGGTCAAAATAGAGAAGTCATTCACACCAATCTGAGAAAAAAAAAATTAAATAAAAATATAAACTTGTTATTAATAGTTTGGCAAAACATACTTTTATTTCTTCAGGTTTTATGGGAGCTGTCATTCCACACAAGGTGTAAATTATTTTTCCACAACTTATAGTTTGTGTTGCGACAATTTTAACATCATATTTTTGGTTTTTAAACCTTGAATTTCTTTCGTACCTGTATGACTTATCTTCTAAAGATTTTTTGTATATATCCATAAGTTTGGTTAGTGTATCTTTTTCACGTTTTGTTGTGAATTGAAATTTGCGAGTTTTTGTCTTATGTGTTTTAAAACCTATACAATTTAAAACATCAAATGAATGCCAGTAGTATTTTGTTTATAATTAAATATATTATGTTATTTAGTAATATATATGTTAGATCAGGGTGGTACAACCCGCGGCCTGCGAAGCTTTTTTTTTGGCCCCTCTAACAGTTTTAAATTTAAATTGTAAATCACAATAGTATTACAAAAAATCAATAACAAGGTATAAAATGTAAGATCGGCGGAGACAAACGACGACGAAGGCGCGTTAGACACAGACGGTGGAAGGGGGTGCATAACAACCACTGCGATCGACGATTACGGGTGTCTATTATTAGTAATCCTGCCGGCCGATACGAAAAAACCCCAATAGATGTAATGCGAATTAAATCGTATACAAAACGTTGCCGTGAGTCTAAATAAATAATATTCGATAAGATACGAAACATAATTATTATCGAAACCACAAATTTTTAACGTTTTTATGATTTTATTTGAGAAAAAAATCTTCTTTGCCAAGTTTAACAATATGAATTATCATTTATAGTCGGGGACACGAAAAGTGGCGTGTGACCTTCACTGTACCCCAACCCACACCCGGCCAGCGGTCAGTGGTTCTCAACATGCGACGCTTGCGGCGTATTTCACGCGCGCAGCGTAATATTTTGTGCACTGTACACATCATAAAAAAAATAAGGTTCTGTTTTTATTCTATGACTTTCTGGTTGTTTGTTGCATAGGCCTGTTATATGGTTTGTTGCAGCTGTTTTTTTTTTTTTTTTTTTTTTTTTTGTTTTGGCCGTTTAAGAACCCATTAGACAATTTAACCGCTTGGATCGCGTCGGTCACACGCCACTTTTCGTGTCCCCGACTATAGTGTTTATTACCAAAAATAGTGATAAAACGATAAGAAATGTATGAAATAATTATTACGTAAACAAACGCTGGTGTTTCAACCGGCGGCAATGTTCCGATGACATCAGAAGGCACCGTTCAACTTCGCCTCAGAATATGTACTATTGGGTACATGAATTACACACACAATGCGCTCAATTACACATGTGTAATGTCTGGGCATTTAACAGGTTTACAGGCTAGAGTTAAGGAAGTTGCACCTAATGCTTTATTTACACACTGCCTAGCTCACAGATTAAATTTGGTATTGCAACATGGTTGTAGTATAAATGCTAAATGTCGTATATTTTTTGCTAACCTCACTGGTATCCCTGCTTATTTTCACAATTCCACTTCACGTACTAATTTTGTAGATACTATTGTAGGGAAAAGAATTTCTCAATTTGTTGAAACAAGATGGTCCTCACGGTCAAAAATTTTACACACAATAGTTAATGAGTGGTCTGGGTTTATAAATGTTTTTGACTGTATTAGCAAAGATCCAAAATCGTCATCTGAAACTATTTGTGGTGCTATTGGTCATTTTAAAAATTTAAAAACTTTTGAATTTGCTTTCTTAGCACTGATAATTAGTGATATATTCATATATACTGACAATTTATTTAACATACTCCAAAATAAATCATTTGATGTAGAATTTTGCTTGATAAAAATAAATATAACATATGATCTTATAAATAAAAAAAGAAATGAACCTGAATTTTTAAAATTATTTAATCAAGCAGTTACTCTTACAAAACCTCCAAAAGCTACAAGAAATGAATCTAACAATCAATCAAATTTTAAAATATTGTTTTATGAAATAATTGATAATATTCTAATGCAATTAAATACCAGATTTCAAGATTTGTATTCATCTAGGATAAGAATGTTATTATTAGTATTATTATTATTAAGAGGATGTTACACCTGCTCATGTAAAATGTGCTGTATCCTACACATGTAAGACGAAGGAAACATGGGGGGTTCGACATCCTCTTAAATATATCATAAATATATAATATAATATAATATGTATATATATATATTTACTTTATATATATGCGCATTTTCTTGAATTTGCTCCCTGGTTAATGTATACAATTGGTTGATTATACATTGTATAATCACCTTTCCTCAATTCATAATTGAATACCATCGACTTAACCAGGGGGTTAATAATATTTATGGTATATATAAATGGTCCATGATCATACATCTTGTGCCTCGTTAATAAATTGTTTTGTATGAATTTATCTAATGTTTTTGTGATTAATAATTTACAATTATTGAATGTATCATTTTTATTTATCATATTCATAACTAACATAAATGATTGACACATATTGCTAATCTGAAAATTATGAATATTACAATTAAATAATATATTATAATATAATATTGTTATAAATGATGAGTTATTACTGTAGCATTGCGAAGTGCTGTATTGTGTATATAAATGTGCATAAAGTTTAATATCAATACATCTATGTAATTAAACCTTTCTGATATAAATTTATTTGTTTGTACGTCTATTATTTTATTGTCTATCACCATTTGATTATTGTTTGTAAATATACTGTAAAAAATTTTTGTAAATAAACTGTAAAAAATTGTTGTAAATATACTGTAAAGATTAAATGTTATTGTACTTACGATTTAACTTTAAAATTTTTATCAAAACTCAAGTGTTTGTTATAATATTTAAAATTGTTTTTAAATTCATAAAATTTACATTTAATTATTGCATAATAAATATATCCATTATCCGTATTAACATTTGTTTTGTATGTATTAAAAATGTTTAAAAATTGTATTAAAATTTGTATTTTACAACAATCAATATACATTGTAAATATGTTCTTAAAATTATTTATACA